CAAAGTGAATTTTGAGATACTCTAAATTCTGCAGTCCTGAATTTCTTTTTTTTCCTGTCAATTTGGTTTGGAAAAAACTACTTTTTCCACCCTGAACAAGTCTAGTCATTTGTGTAAGTAAATCACTTCTCATAGACATGGTTACAAATATAAATACTGCTCATATATAGCAAAGCAAAATATATGGGAAAATTCATAATTTACTCAATTCCAATGCTGCATACTGTGAGGTTATTGAACTCATCAGTCAATAAGATATCAATAGTTAATACTGCCCTTTCAGCTGTATTAGTTTGCAGAGGTCAGCAATGTACAGCCTTAGTTTATATTCGTCTACCGGGAACACCTTGTTCTTCATTACTGTAACAAATAGTGGTACATATACAGATGTAACACATTTCTAGAAATAAAGGTGCTTCATACTTGCAACATTGAAACGTGTGTCATACAGTTACATATTCAGTTGTCCTATCCTATCAATGATTGCACTTAAAATGAAATATAGTCATACTATAAATGAGTGTAAGAACAATCAGTGCTTGCTCTTAAATTCAGTTGTATGCATGTATTTATAAATATATACATATATTTAAAGAGAAACAGTTATTATGAATAATGTTAGTACCCACATAGAGATTTAAACACATAGATATCCTTTACCAACACCCTACCTAACACTAAGCTAACCCTACCCCTAGACCAATGCTTAAACTAATGCTAACTCTGACCTTACCCCTAACTTTACTCCTACACTAGGAGTAGGCAACCTTCGGCACACCATATGTTGTGAACTTTATCTCCCTTGACTCTCTTGTGTCAGCAGGGATTTAACCCTGCTCACACCAAATCATAAGAAATTCCACACTGTCCTAACAGCAGGTATACAAAAAAGCTGAAAACAGAAACAAATCTGAAATAGTGATGTCGCGAACCCGAAATTTTCGGTTCGCGAACGGCGAACGCGAACTTCCGCAAATGTTCGCGAACCGGCGAACCGCCCGAAACGCCATTGACTTCAATGGGGAGGCGAATTTTAAAACACACAGGGACTCTTTCTGGCCACAATAGGGATGGAAAAGTTGTTTCAAGGGACTAACACCTGGACTGTGGCATGCCGGAGGGGGATCCATGGCAAAACTCCCATGGAAAATTACACAGTTGATACAGAGTCTGGTTTTAATCCATAAAGGGCAGAAATCACCTAACATTCCTAAATCACAATCAATATGGATTGACACCTGACATATGACATATTGACACCTTGACATATGGATTGACACCTGTCCCCAGAGCCCCTGATGCACACGGACACAGAGCAGAATAGAGACTGGTCCCCCTACATAGGGTCACTTGGCAGATATGGATTGACACCTGTCCTAAGGATCCCTGATACACACTGACACAGAGCAGAATAGGGACTGTTCCCCCTACATCGGGTCACTTGGCAGATATGGATTGACACCTGTCCCAAGGTTCCCTGGTACACACTGACACAGAGCAGAATAGGGACTGGTCCCCCTACATCGGGTCACTTGGCAGATATGGATTGACACCTTGTTACAAACTGCTATTTGTAACGGGCCCTTAAATGGCAAATTGCCCTGCTTCCCTGGGTTGTGGAGAAGCCTACTTGCCAGCCTCCTCCCGCATGACTATGGCCCCTGGGAGATTGTGAAAATGTATGCACTTTTATTTGGTGTGTATGGCCCTTTAAGACTGTCGGTGGGCATATTGGGGCTTATGGACTCTTTATGTGACTGGTGCTGGCCCTTTAAACACCTTGGGACATCAGGAAGATTGGGACACTGCCCCTTTAAGGCCGTGTCCCCAGACTTGTTGGGGACACGGCCCCTTTAAGACGGTGTCCCCTGTGTCCCCAGACCTGGTGCAAACCCTTTGTGCCTGCCTTGCTATTTCCCACTTGGTTCAGTAAATGGGAAATTATTTCAGCTGCAGAGACTAAGTCCCATTCAGCGATGGGACTTAGTCTTTTTTTCAGCCGTTTTTTTCAGCCTTATTTCAGCTGCAGAGACTAAGTCCCATTCGTGATGGGACTTAGTCTTTTACACCTCAACAGATTTTCCGTAACTTATTTCAGCTGCAGAGACTAAGTCCCATTCGGCGATGGGACTTAGTCTTTTTTTCAGCCGTTTTTTTCAGCCTTATTTCGGCTGCAGAGACTAAGTCCCATTCGCGATGGGACTTAGTCGTTTTTTCAGCCTGAAATAGACCGACCTCACAGCCCAAATCTATGGAACTGTTTTGGGCAGGAAAATGTGCTTGCGGTCGGTCATAAAAGGGACCTCCAGCTAACTTTTTAACCCCTGGATGGATTTGGCTGATTTTTGGTTATGTTTATGTTTTAAGTGTGCTGATTCCAAATATGTAATTATGAAGATGGGATGTGTAGTTTTAAAGTTACGGGGTATGGCTAAAAACTGTATTTTTACTGCCTGTGTTTAATTATGTTAATCTCTTCCCAAACGTCATTTCGTTCAAAGTGGAGAGAATGTTAAAAAAAAATATTTTTGTTCTGAGTGTGAGAAATGCTTTTCAGCAGCTTCTAATCTTAAGCATCATTTGAGGAGCCATACAGGAGAGAAACCTTATTTGTGGTGTGTTTAGTATTGTTCTGATC